CCAACCCTTCTGCTCCTTGGCATTTCTCCAAGAAAGAGAAAGCATTTATCCACCTGAGGACTTGTTCATGAATGTTCCCAGCAGCTTGATGGATTACAGCACCACCATTGAAAACAACCCAAATGGGCATCAGTGAGTGAGCAAACAAATCATGGTACAGTTAAGAAGGAACGGACTGATGATATATGCAACAATATGGATAAATCTCAAAATAGTCATGCCACGTGAAAGAAGTCAGACTGAAGCAGAGTACATCCTGTATGATTCCATTTATACACAAGTCTAGAAAGTGAAAACGAATCTGTAGTGCCAGGAGCAGATCAGCGGTCACCTGGGGATGGGGAGTTGGGGGAGGAGGGATCATCAGGGGCAGGAGAAAACTTCTAGAGGGGATGGGTCCTTGTTCACTAGCTTGGTTGGGGTGATGGTTTACAGGTGTGTATATATGTCAAAACTTACCCAACCGCGTGCTTTAAAGGGGTGTAGTTGATGGAATGTCAATTGTACCGCAGTAATGCTGTTTAAAAAATGGAGACTCTCCCCACCATATAACATAAAGGATGTGATAGAGTGACTGGGTGGCTGCAGGAGGGGCCCAGGGGTGTGGCCCTGAGCTGAGAGCTGAGTCATGAGAAACGAGCCACCTGTGGGTCTGGGGGGTAGAGTGTTCTGGACAGTGGGAACAGCCAGCACAAAGGATTTATGGGAGGAATTAGCTTGATGAACTTTTTTTTTTTTTTTTTGAGATGGAGTTTCACTCTGGTCACCAGGCTGGAGTGCAGTGGCCCAATCGCAGCTGACTGCAATCTCCACCTCCTGGGTTCAAACGATTCTTCTGCCTCAGCCTCCTGAGTAGCTGGGATTACAGGTGCACATCACCAGGCCCGGCTAATTTTTTTTGTATTTTTAGTAGATATGGGGTTTCACCATGCTGGCCAGGCTGGTCTTGAACTCCTGACCTCAGGTGATCTGCCTGCCTCAGCTCCCAGAGTGCTGGGATTACAGGCGTGAGCCACTGCACTCAAGCTTGGCATCTTTGGGTGGCCAGAGTGAGCCAGGGAGGCAATGGCTCAGTGTTGTGGGTTCACAGCCCCAGCAAGGAGAGAGAGGGTGGACTAGACCCAGCAGTCCATATTGTGGAAGGCAGTGGGTATCCTCTGGACATGCTTTCCTGGCCAGGCTCAGGGTTGGCCTTGGGTACCCCTGTCCCAGTCCCAGAGAAGGCCAGAGATGCAGAACTCAGAATCTCAAGTGCAGGATGGATCCTCAAAATGGAACCATGCCTGGACCTTGAGTGAGCTCCTTATTGCAGAGGATGAAGATGGCTGGGTGACAGGTAGTCTGGCTGGAAAGCCACGGGTAAGAAGAGAATAGTGGACCAAGGAGGATTCATTGACCTGTTGGAATAGCCCAGATTTCCTAGGGTTCCTGGCTATGAAATGCTAAGTTCTAGAGAGAAAATGAGACTGTCTTTTGAAGTCTTCATCCCTGAAAGGATGCAAGGTTGGGATTAGAGCAGTCACTGTGGCATTGGGATTTGGGATTCGGTTGTATATGTCAAGCCTAGGTCACTTTATCTTCTGTTTTTATGGCAAAATGTGTGTCTTCATTTAGAAAATATCAGATGCATCCTTAACTTTAACCTTCTACTTAGATGGAAAGAACACTCCAATTAGAGCCACCAAACATCTAGGTACAAACGAAGGTATTTTCATGAAATTAACTGCTGGAGATAGTGTTATTGGAAGTGCCTTTAATTGGCAGGATCTGGATTCTTGGCCCAGCTCTTCCCCTGAGGTTCTGCATGGCTGTGGGCTGGTGGCACAGCTCTGCACCTGTAAAATGAGGATGCTAGGCTTCACCTCACAGGCTCTGCCAATGAGGCTCCCAATGGCCTTGCAAGGCTCTGTTGGCTATGAGGGCCACGTCCATTCCCTCACTTGAATGGGAAATACGTCTTTTCTTTTGGTTTCCCTACCCCCTCCAGCATCTAAATAGCCTTCTCCTCATGAATATGCATAAGCGGGCCAGGCCCTGACAGTTGCAGTGACAAAAATGCCATCAGGGCCAGGAATGGGGTGGGTATGGTGGTGGTAATGGTGGTGTTAGAGCTAGGGTTTATTGTCAGGGCTCATCTGGCACTAGGTATCTGGATCAGAGCAAAGCACAAGACTGTCTTCCTCGGCAGGGCTAAGGGAACCATCTGAGTTAGAAGCTGAAGGAGTCCACCCTTCTGCATTTGCGCCCCTGTCTTCTGTGTCTTTGGTTTCTTGCCCTCTCAGTGCCTACCCTGGCCGGTCCTCCCCTCCGCTACTCCCCAAGGTGAGAGACTGGGGTCTGAGGAACTGGGCTCTGTGTTACAGAATCTGCTTGTGCCTCTAACTCCTGGTTTCCCATAGCAACTGGGAGAGGAAGGCAGTGCAGGGCTAAATCATCCCATTTTGCAGACAAAGGCTTAAAGTCAGGGCCAGGTCTCACAGAGAATGAGGGGCACATGCCAAGCTTTCTCATTTTGATCTGAGCTTTCCCTGTGATCACTCAGCCTCCTGGGAGCTTCCAACCCCAAGGGTGAGGAAAGGGGGAATAAGTAGAAAATTATATGTGTCCCCTGGGCCTTAGAGGACCAGATTTTCATGCTGGTTGTGTCACTGACTGGCTGCTGTCTGATCGCAGGCAAGTCTTGGGTCACTGAGCCTCAGGTTCCTCATCTGTAGAATGGTAGGGCTAGAATTGTTTGTCTACTGGAGGGAGTGGAAGGATGTCACTGTGGGAAACTGTGTGATTATTCCTGGGCCAAGGAGCCATCACAGAAGCAAACCACAGGTGTGCCACGGTCCCCACTGTCCCTCTCCCTTTTTCCCCATTGAGGGAGGGGAAGTGGAAAAGGGGATGCCACGGAACCAGCCCCAGCACATCTGGGGATGGGCTGTGTGGGGACTGCCCCTTGCAAGGAAGAGAGTTCTGGTATTGACTGTAGGTGGGCCACGGAGGGGGCGTGTGATAGGCAGTGCAAGGTGAAGGTGAGCAATCTTGTGGCCCAGAGCCCCAGGCAATGCATATCTAGATTCTTGGAAAAATCCATGTTGTGGGCCTGGTGATGGGTGGTACTGGATGGGCCACCTGGAGAATGTGACCAAGCCCTCAGCTCCATGAGCTGGAGGTGAAGCCTTCCTGGCATGGGACAAGGAGACTCTTTACTCTGGAGTCCTGTCAAGCCAGTAGAAGCAGAGACCCCAGGGTAGGAAGAAAGGCTTTCCTTATGGCATTGGAGGTTGTGCCTACAGGAGTGTAACCAGGCTTTGATCAGTGTCAGAGTCAATGTGTGGTCAAGACCAGGGCTGTGGGTGAGGTTCAGCTTGGAACTTCATCAGAGCCGGGTCAGGTCTCAACAGGGTGAAGTACATGCTAAACCTATGTCCACAGCAGAGGTCACCAGGATGAGAATTAGCATGCAGGAGACAGTCACCAGAAGGTGAAAAGCAAAATCAATAACCAGGACATTTTTACAAATGAGTGTGATATGGCCTCCACAGTTCCTGTTGGAGGCATGTCCTACAATGTGGGAAGCAGGGCAGAGACTTCAAGCCAAGCCTGCAGCTCCCCTCTTTGCCTGAATGGCTCCAAAAGGAGATATTGCTGCTGCTGCGTCCGTGTGTGTGTGTGTGTGTGTGTGTGTGTGTGTGTGTGTGTGTGTGTTCTTGTTGTTTCTCAGGGGACAGGCCCATTGTTGCCAGAGTGAAGATGTAAAGGCTGAGTGTGGGAGAGAAAGCATGTTGGGGATTTGGCGGGTGGTGCACAGAGCAGCGGAGAGACAGGGATGGGTGGAGGGGCAAGGGAGTGTGAGAACGCCAGAGAAGGTACAAGAAAGCAGAGTGAAAGGGAGCAGGAGGGAGAGAGGGCCACACACATGCACGTATGCACACAAGCACGGACATACATGCACACACACACATGCACACATGTGTGCATGTACAAACACATGCCCACACATGCCTGTACATATGCGCACACACATACATGCATGCACACATCCACACATGCATGCACACACTTGCACGTATGACACTCACACATGCATGTACACACATGCACATGCTCATGCATATGCACACACATGTACACACATGCACATTCTCATGCATATGCACACACACATGTACACACATGCATGTGCACACATGCATACATGCACGCATGCCACATATGCACACAATGCACACACATGCAGGTACACACATGCACACACTCACATGTACATGTACACCCATGCACACACACATGCATCTACACACAGGCACACACAAGCATGTATGCACACACTCACACATGCATGTGGATACACGCACACACACATTGCAAGGGAGAATGGGGAGGGGAGGGAGAACACCCTTAGGTAGCAGAGGGCTGGAGAGATCCTGAGGACAGGATGCAGGGAGACAAAAGAGAAATTCGTAGAGAATGAGAGACCAAGAAAGAGACATACCCAGTTAGATAAAGTGAGACCCGGAGAAGGGATAGAGAGAAAGACCCTGGGGTGAGAAGAGAGCAAGGCAGTGCATATGTGTTCCACCCAGAAAGGGGGATGGATATGGCAGGCAGCACCGGAGAGCCTGGGAGAGGCCAAGAGAATTACAAGGACCAAGAGAGACACAGACCCATAGAAGGGGATCCAGAGAGCTCTAATCTGAGTGGGACAGGGCCAGATATAAAGCATGAGAGAAGCATGGTGAGACTCTGGGAGAGAAAGATATATTTGATCAGAAACAGACAAAAGACCAAGAGCCAAAGATGGAGCAGGGTTATACTGATGATTAGGAAAAGAGATGAAAGAGTCCTGGGCTGTGCAGGAATAGGCATGCTCAGGCCTCCAGAGCCCTGGGAGACCCCACTGAGACAGGACTTATGGTGCTGTAGAAAAAATGGGAGCTAGGATGCACTGAGCACCTGCTGCATACCTGGCTCTCTCAGCATATGTCAGAGGCATTTCTCATGTTTTTCAGTAAACTGGATTCCAGCAGGAGGGAGGTTGTGTCTCGCCCTGCACACAGTAGGTGTTCGGAAATCTATTCACTGTAGAGTGAATGCTAGAATAAACAAATGGATAACTCTGTGCTTGAGTAAGTGAACCAGGAGACAAAGAACTCAAGGTGGTAATCAGGCTGATCCTGATGACCTTACTCTGGAGCTGGGCTAGAATGTCATAAGGGCAGACACTAGCAGGATTGGAACCAAGAGTGAGTGTAGGGCATAGCACCAATGCTCCTGCTGCTGATGGTGGTGATGGTGATACCGTGATGTGATAGCATCTCAGTCTGTGCTTTTACTGTGTGAGGGGAACTCTTATAAACACCTTACCTGCATCCTCTCATTTAATCCTCACAGCAATCCAATCACACAGACACTACGATGATATCATTTTTTAGATGAGGAAACTGCAATTGTATTGCTTGCAGATGGCGGGTCCAAGATTGAAAGCCATCCATCAAACCCCAGAACTGAGCTCTTAACCTCTATAATTCGGCTGCCCCAAGGATAATACCACCTTATATTTGTTTATAGCACCTCAACTTCTGTAGTGTTTTCAGATGCACTGTATTATTTGTCCCCACAGCAGGTTGCTATAAAGAGCTATAGTTATTGTTGTTTAAAAGATAATAAAGCAGACACAGTGGTGGAGGGTGTGCAGAAGCACAAATCTCGCATGCAGCAGAGAATCTGCACTAGAACCTGGTCAGGGCTCTGCCCGGTATGCAATGCTGCCTACAGGTATAAACCAGTTCCCAGATGGAACACGCCAGGCTCAGGAAATTGTCTGAATATGTGTGGTGCCTGGATGGAGTGTGGGCAGCCAATACAGGATGTCCAGGGCAGGCTATCAGGGTGGCAGGATTTCAGGACTCTTGAAATAGTATATCTGGTTTTGGATCCTGGCTCTAGCCAGTGACCTTGGGCAAGAATTACTCAGCTACTCTGTGCCTGTTTACTTGCCTATAAAATGGAGAGAATAATAATTGTACCTTTTTTGTATTGTTATAAGAATCGAGTTAATATTTGTAAAGCACTTATAATAATCTCAGTGTGTATCATGCATTAGATAAATGTTGTTAATTAAATCAAATAGATAAATAAAATGAGCCAGGAGGAGCTGTCCTAGCCAGAACTGGGGTCTGCTCCATTGAGCACAGTGAATCAGAACTCTGGACAGCTCCCAAAGCGTCAGATCCGCCATATTGATTCCTTCTGCTAGGTAAAGTTCTTTGGCAGTAAAATGGATCTCAGCCCTTTATTCTTATTCTCATAAGCTTAGAGATTGTCCTTAACACCCTTTGATGTCTGTTCTGTGAGGGAGAGCACAAAGTTCTTCACCAGAAAGACACATCTGTTTTCGGGCAAACCGTGGGGAGGAGAGCACGCATGCCTATGGGTTTGTCTGAAGAAATGTCCTTTTGTAGGATGAGGGATGGTACCAGATGTGTGTATCAGATGTATGGTACCCAAGGCTTGTGTTCGGTGTGGTTGTGGAATAATAGCTCCACTGATTTCTCCCAGAGGAATCACTATGCTCAGACAAGGAATGAACAAGGATAGAGACAGGGTTAGGGGGAGGAGTGGGAGAGAATGGAGGCATTAAGAGGGTCATAAGGTTCAAATAGGGGCTAAGGCTTCCATACAGCTCAAAGCTTGCTTAGATCCAGAAGGTGGCTTCTCCTCCAGTTATTCCAGAGCTGTTTCTGCAGCACACAAATCCTCATCCACTCAACTCCTGATGGCAAGTTACTTATAATGTGAAGAAATCACCATGATGGCTGTCATCTATGAGCACCTCCTCTGTACCAAGACCTTTACATCAATCATCTCATTTAATCCTCACAACAACTCTGTGGCTAGATCCATTTTACTGATGGGAAAATTGAGGGTCAGAGGAGTCATTAACTTAAAGAAAAGCTGCTTGCAAATGACAAGGTTTTGCCCTTTTTTCCCACACATACTGACTTTCAAGAGGTACTGCTCTCAGTGCTAGGAATGGTACTTGCTATGGAGTTTCAGCCTTTTTGTTACTTTCTTTTGCTGTAGCATGTGGAGGCCCAGGAGGGCCCCTTCTTGCAATGACAAATCTCTGACAGTCTTGTAACCATCTAGCTACAGACACCTTCAAGAATTGAGGTCTACCTCACTCAAGGAAGAAACAGGACAGTAGAAAATGTCCCTCAGACAGAAGTTCCTGATAGGGATGCCTATCCCTAGCCACACCTGCTCATGCTTACCTCTGCTTCTTCCCACAGAGGAGATGGCTGAAGGGAAGAATGCCATCCTCATTGGGATGAGCCAGTGGAACTCCAATGACCTCGTGGAACAGATGGAGACCATGGGGAAACTGGAGGAGCATCAAGGTGAGATTCTACTTCTCTCATGACCAGGGTGTGCACATAGGTGTATTGTAGGGTGGGCTGTAGGGCTGGTGGTTGAGGCTGGGACTTGGGTCTTCTGTGAAGAGTCCATCTGCCTGGGTATCTTCCTCATAGCATCCCTGAATTCCGCCACCTACAGGAACTCTGATGGCGACTTCTGTGGGGTTTTCTATGGCAGAACAACTCCAGGGTACTTCAACAGAGCTTCCTTTGTCCATAGAATGACCACCCCAGTGGCATGGGTCATTCATGACAGGTGCCTGGGTCCAAGCTGCTTGGACTGCTAGGTCTTTGGTATTGGAATCTGCTGAATAAGGAGAGTGGCAGCTGAAGGAGACTTTGAGCAGGGACAGGAGCTGAGGTCTAAGGGAAGAGAGGACAGCAGTGAGAATCAGAATTTCCTTTGGCTGAGTTGCTGAAGAAGGAGTATATGGCTGGGGATTAATCCAGGAGGCTTTCTATGGAGAAGAGTTTTGACCAGGAGTTTGATCAGCCTACAAAGCAGGCTGATTCTCTTCTGCATCCATCTTTCCAACTGTTTGGCTATTGTTCATCACTAACAGGTTTGTTGAGCACCTACTTTGTATAAGTGCTTGGCTGGAGTGACCAAAGGTGATTCATCTGAGGCCTCTGTCTTGTGATGTGTGACACAGTCTAAGTCAAGACATATGGGATCAGGCTTAAGCTGAGGGCTGTTAGCTCAGAGGGGAGAGGCATAACTTTCAGGAGGCAGGAGAGGGGATCCTGGAAGGGCTCCTGACAATGAATCAACAGGACAGGGCTTTAAAAGGCAAATGGACAATGTGGCTGAAGAGGTCATAAAATCTGAGCTAACATATGGGGAAACTGAGCCTCCGAGATCCTCAGCTGAGGACTGTGTTTGATTAATGTTGCAATGGAGTGAGAAGCAGAGCCAGGGCTAGAACCCCATCCAGGATGCAGGGTGCTAACCTCTGTATCTGTTTCCCTCAGGTTGGTTTCTTCCATCCCTCCCTGCACACCCCACATACCACACCTCCTGCTTTATTTCTTCCTCATCTCTCCTTCCTCTCTTGCTCCCATCATTTGTAGTCATGCTCTGGGCCAGAGTTGCCAAGTGGGCAAGGCCATGCTCTCAGGAGGTATTGGTGAGATAGTCCTGGCCCAGCCCATGAGAACAGCCATCTTGGCAGCTGTCTTGGTGGTGACCACCTTGCCCTATTCCTGTTTCTTTTCTCATGCCCATCCCTGCCTCCTGGGTTCGGAGCTCCCCTCATGCCAGAGCACCCATCCTGAGAAATACACAGGCCTGATGTGGTCATTCCATCTAACCAACGAAGAACTCAGGCTCAGAGAAGCCATGTCTTGCCCAAGGTCCTCCAAGCTGGTGGCAACATCAGGCTCAGATCCCTGGTCTTCTGATTTTCAGTCTAGGGGTACACCTCTCATACTGGACTAAGGCTTGGCACAGTTCTGTGCCCTAACAAAGTCAGGCTCGAGGAACCATGAGTCTTAAAGGAAAGGCACCCTGTACCACTGTCCCATCCATAAAAAGTATATGGGGGGGCTCTGAATCTGTCCCCCAAGACCAGTCCAGAGACAGCTTCCCAGTGTTCATAGCCATGTATCTGCCAGTGCATCCTTTGCTGCTCTTTCCTTCATGAGAACCCCAGAGGGGGCCTAGAAGGGCTCTTGGATCCTAGGTCCTGCCCCACGACAGTGCTTGTAGCCTGGAAAAGACAAATCTGGATTGGTACCACCGTTTGGCCATCCCCTTCCCATTCCCCACCCCCACTTGTCTGCTAAAGAATGTATGACTCAGACCCAGTGTGAGCTAAGGGCAGTCAGTCCTGTGAGCCAGAGGCAGAGTAAGCGGGGAGGGCACGGGAGGGCAGGGGACAAGGAAGCACAGGGGAAGGTCCAAGAGAGAGGCAGAAGCTGCAGTATTGGAGTCAGAGAGGCCTGAGTTGGAACTTCAGCCATGCCATTCCGTAGCTCTGTGGTCAGGAAAAGTCCCATCACCTCTCTGGGCTTCCGTTTCTTCATCTGCAGATTGGGGGACTAGTGAAAAAGCTGGGAGGATTAAATGAGATGATATTTGCAAATGCACTCCATAGCAGGTCATTCTTATAATGATGGATGGGGAGAAGCATGACCGGTCTGGCACAAATATTTCCTGGTGCTTATGCACGATTGAATTAATGGCAGTGCTTTCCTGAGTCCGAGGGTTGGTGCTGTTTCCTCCCAGTACAGAACGGAGAGCAGGAAGAAGAGAGGAAAGAGGGCAAGAGGAAGGCGAAACCAGTGGGATTTCCAGCTCCTTCTGAGTCCCATTCTCGTGTGGATTCATGATGTGAATTCTCATAACAGGACAGAACACACACATTCAGCTCAGTAATCATTCATGGAGCCATTATAGGGGCTCGACCCTGTGCTCAGTGTGGGGGAAACAAAGACAAGCAGGATGGCCTTGTCACTCTTTAGAAGCTTGCAGCAGAGTGGAAGCGACAGATCAGAGCCAGGGGTTACTATGCAGTAAGACAGTTTGGGTGAAGGCTCTGAGAGGCTCTTGGGGAAAGGAAGATCCATGAACTCTTCCTGGAAAGGGATGCAATCAAAATTCGTGGCATAGACAGAGCGTATCCTTCTGTCTTCTTCAAGTTTCCTGCCCTTAGACACAGGGCTTATTCCAGGGGCCTCCTGTCATGCTTGGCACTGTGGCCAGTCACACTGCCTCCATGCATGCTCCACCCACCAGTGACCACTCCCTAGTCTGTCTCCAGCCAAGATCTTTCTTCTGGGCTCCATACTCATATTTTTGGTAGCCTCCTGTTAACCCTTACCTGGATGTCCTAAAGACTCCTTATGTTCCACAAATTCCAAATGGAGCTGACCTTTTTCCTTTTAAGCCTCAATTCTGTTTTGTGTTTCACCTTTTCTCTCCCTAACCATTTACGTCATATGTTTCATTGGCGCTTTCAGGCTGCTCTCATTCCTCCAGTTCTCAGGGGTGCTAATTCTGCTCTGTGTGTGTGTGTGTGCGCGCGTGCGTGCGTGTGTGCACAACTGTACTTCATGGGTTTTGTTTCTCATTTGTTATTGTGAACTCATCTTGGTCACACATACCTCTCTCCTTTTTTGGGGGAGTGTTGTATGCCCTAGGTTGGGAAAATATCCTCATAGAGACCAGCCTTGTGTTCTTTTTTGCCGGGCCTGAGTGTTTCACTGATCTTGAATATTTTATAGGCTAAATTTATAGTTTAGAGTTTCCATTCTCCATGGGTGGTGTAAATTTAGACCCTACACGCAGAAGTGGCACAGGCTTAGGGTTTTAATTACTCATGTGTGAATTTTCTCTCTCACTGCCTGTGAATGGTTTCTTTGCTGCTTCCGCAAAGAAGGTTCTTTTTTTAAGTTCCTATAAGGATGGAATAGCCCATCAAGGATCTCTGCTATGAAGTGGGTGCCACATAGGCTCCTTGCCGTCCGCAGGCTGAGGTCAGGTTGGTGGAGTTCACAATGTGCCTGACCCTGGAGCTTCTCCCTTTATTCATCCGACGCACGAGATTCTCAGATCTCCTCTATCTCAGCTTCTGCTTTCGTCTCTAGGTTCCTTTCTTTGTTCCTGGCACTGTGTATTATACATTTTTTATTTTAAGCTTGGTTATATATTTATCTTTTTTGGCAATATATTGCCCAGTACATATATATATACACACATATATATATGTATGTATATACACATACGTATGTATATATTTTTAATGGAAAGGGATCCTTTAGCACCACCTGAACACCCAGAAGTGTGTTGTTATTACCATTGTTTTACAATTGTTCAAATATTATTATTTATTACACTATTATTTTGCAATTATTTGCCTGCTATTTTTATTTAACATTTCTTATTGTGGTTAAAATATGCATAACATAAGATTTACCATTTTAATAATTTTTATTTTTTTGAGACAGAGCTTCACTTTGTCATCCTGGCTGGAGTGCAGTGGTGTGATCTCGGCTCACTGCAACCTCCACCTCCTGGGTTCAAGCGATTCTCCGGCCTCAGCCTCCTGAGGAGCTGGGATTACAGGCACATGCTATCACGCCCGGCTAATTTTTGTATTTTTAGTAGAGACAGGGTTTCACCATGTTGGCCAGTCTAGCCTCAAACTCCTGACCTCAAGTGATCCACCCACCTCGGCCTCCCAAAGTTCTGGGATTACAGGCGTGAGCCACCACTCCTGACCCATTTCAACAATTTTTAAGTATACAGGTCAGTGGCATTAAGTCCATTCACACTGCTGTGCAACCATCACCACTATCCAGCTCCAGAACTTGGTCATCCTCCCCAACGGAAACTCTGTACCCATCAAAGAGCAACTCCCCAGCTGGGCACAGTGGCTCGTCCTTGTAATTCCAGCACTTTGGAAGGCCGAGGCAGGTGGATCACCTGAGGTCACGAGTTTGAGACCAGTCTGGCAAACATGGCGAAACCCCGTCTCAATTAAAAAAAAAAAAAAGAAAACCAATTCCCTGTTCTACTTTTCCCAGCTCTTGATAACCACCATTCTACTTTCTGTCTCCATGAATTTGACTTCTCTAGGTAACCTACGTAAGTGGGATCATACAGTATTTGTCCTTTATTTATTTTTAAAAATTATACTTTAAGCTCTGGGGTACATGTGCAGCTCGTGCAGGATTGTTACATAGGTATACACATGCCATGCTGGTTTGCTGCATCCATTCCCCCGTCATCTACATTACATATTTCTCCTAATGGCATCTCTCCCCAATCCCTCCACCTCCTGCTATCCCTCCCGTAGCTCTCACACCCCCCAACAGGCCCAGGTCTGTGATGTTCCCCTCCCTGTGTCCCCCTGTTCTCATTGCTCAACACCCACCTATGAGTAAGGACATGTGGTGCTTGGCTTTCTGTTCTTGTGTCAGTTTGCTGAGAACGATGGTTTCCAGCTTCATCCATGCCCCTGCAAACGATGTGAACTCAT